ATCAAATAACGCCATTTGGCCTTCCTCCGGAATTTAAGATGGTTCTTGCTGAGGTAGATTCTGGATCTAATACACCAAGCATGGTAGGAAAAGTATTAGCATGGCGTAAAGAAAACTCTGAACAAGGTTGATATCATGATTTTTCCGAATATATTACATTTTTGCCGCATAACTGATAAATTTTGTTAATTTATTAGCGAATAAATTGTGGGATACGATTGCTTCTAGTAATGCAATTGTTGTTAATAATCTCATCGAATTAACCAAAGAATATGAAAAGGATAAAACAGAGTACTATAACACAATTAGAACTTGTTCTGGTGTTAAAGGATCTATGGTAAAATATAAATTTTCAAAATCAACCTTTCTTTTCATTAAATAAAATTAAACTTTGAAATTTTCGGATTTTAGTGGTCAAACCTACTTAATCAGGAACGACCAGGAAAACGAACTTTCGAATTGCTTTATTCTACTTTTACCGAATTTCAAGTATTAACATTTAAAACAAATGTTATTTATATGTTTATTTATATTTATTCGTTTATTCATTTACCTGCTTTTTGTTTTATTATTTTAGAAAGTTCGTCAATTGCTACGTGACATGTCAAACATGTCAGATGCACCAATCGAACCACCTATGCAAACAAGATTACTCGATGCATGTACAGAGGTTCCTGGTGTAATTATGGCTGGTGTCCCTGGTGGTAAATATTATATTATTAATTAATAATATCACTAATTAATAATATTTATTAAATCATTAATTATAATATCATTAATTAATAATATCTATTTATTTATTTTTTTAACTCATTAATAGCTGGAGGGTATGATGCTATATTTTGCGTAGGTATTGGAGATAATTTTGTTACGCAAGTTGAAACCGTTTGGGAAAATTGGAACGAAATGAGTGTTGGACCTTTACTAACAAGAGAATCTTCAGATGGATTTATGAAAGAGAACTTAGAGAATGTATTAGGCTTGAAAAACTGTTTGGAATCATAATTTATATCTAAATGCGCGCTCCAAATTTATAAATCTATTTGTACGGTCTTGACTTTTTATTGAATGCATTGAATATATATCATTGGTATTTATAGAAATAGCATCAAAGTGAAATGAATCGCTTTAATTAGTCATATTTACAATTTGTGCCATACTATGGTTTAAATAACTTAAGAGACAACTTAGTTATGAGTTTAAAGCCATGAGCCTGCCTGCTCATTGTCCAGGTTGAACGTAACGTTTTCTTCAATGTAGTTTACAAAGTAATTCTTGGTAAATCGGATTCCATTGAAGCCGTTTAGACTGAGATTTTTCTGAACATACAGTAATATATATTAGTCCTACTGTAATTGTCCAAAATGAAGCATTTTAATGAGCAAATTATATTTTCAAAATATTAACTGTCATGTCACATTTTTAAATTGCATACTTGTGCAGGAACCCGGAAATTTTTCAAAAAGATTAAAAAACTATAAAATATTAGATTTAATTCTATCACGTATGAGATATTGGAATGTATGCTAGGTCATCCCGCGCAAGGTACGTACTGTACGTACAGTACATACATCTGATACAACTGAACGCATAAACACGTGCATTTAGATAACCTTAAATTGCTCGCGTTTTTATACATTGTTGATTATGAGAACATACTACGTATTGTATTTCAGAGGCATCGCCATTTTATACAAATTGATTTAACAATTGTAATATTTAAAATTATTTATTATGTTTATTATATATACGTACGTTGTTTTCCTCAAAATAAAAAAAAAAAAAAAAAAAAGGAAAAAAATTTTACAATAAATTCAGATTACAATTATGTGATAAATTAATTTACTTGAAAATAATTTAAAGGCTATATAATATATATACATCCAAAATAATAAACCTACACTATAATAATGAAGTTACTATTGTTTTATAACATTCTAAAAATAAAATCTTCCTAAGTCTCTAAGCAAAGATATTTGGTTTTTTCTGACTTGCGAGAATCTTAATATTTTACTCCATGCGTAAAATTTATCTTAGGATTCCGTGAAATACATTTAGAGTTGATGGCAATATAAATGATTTTCAATACTTTTTTTTTTTTTTTTCTTAACATTGAATTTTATTCAAATAACCCCACTAACTCTTTTGTAAATTTGGCAATGTCAAAAGATGCACTAGCAAGTCGTTGCTTAGAAACCTTATTGCTCATAAAACTTTCACCATCATTTTTTATTGCTTCTCGCATCTCTCCCAATTTGTTAACACCATTCTCCAGATCTTTTAGTATAGGGTCTCCACGTAAACGATAAAGACCACCAGATGATGATCCAAAAAAGTTTTGACACGTTGAAATAACACTAGCAACGATCGTGACAATATTGGCGATATTTTCGGAAAGTTCATTAACATACGACCCATTTCGAATAGAACCTAGAAGCGTTTGAATTGCCTGAACTATGGATTCAGTTTGACGTTCCAAGTAGTCCTGCATTTACCAAAAAATTAGTTGTATATAATAAAACTTTAAAAGTAAAAAATTTTAAAATCGAGAATTAACTTACTTTCAACACATCTACGTCGGCGAATGATGCTTCTGTATAACATATAATAACGCTAAATTATTTATTAAACTTAAAACTATCTTAATATCAATAATATATATTTATTTTTACCATTCATATTGTTCATTTCGGCCTTTGCCTTTTCGTATTTGCTTTTCCATTCATCAACTGCTTTTGTCAAAGATTTGATTTTGGCACTGTCATGTTCCTTTTCTGAAGATAGTTCTTCATTTTTCATCGAAAGTTTTTTGATTTCTTCTAATAAAGACGTTGCCTCTTTTTTCACATCATTGGTAATCTATATTGATTAATCAATAGTATGATATAAATAAGTATGATAAAAGCAAAAATTCGGACAAACCAACTAATTTCACTAAAATCTAACCTCTAGTTGCTGTTGACGTTCATCATTTAATTTAATAACTTCTTTTTCCAATAGTACCAGTTGAGACTTCTGTTGATCATTTATTTTCAATAATTCTTCTAATTGGTTTTCAAGACTACGTATTCGGCTGTTTCCATTGGAATTTACACTCTCCTGCGTATTCACAAATTAAATATTAAACAAATATTGTTGATACAACTCTAAGTTATAGAATACTATGTACCGCTAGTTCGGATTCTAGGTCATGTACTCGTTTTTTTAAAGTAGCTAGTTGAAATTCATAATCGGATTTCATCCGTTCTATAGAGTTTTGCTGTAGTTTTTATTTTAAAATTATTAAAATATAAATTTATAAACTTAAAAAAAGGAGAATCAACCAAATTACAAACTTTTTTATGACCAATAATATCTCCAAGGTCAGCCATCAAATTGTCAAGTGATTCAAAATTTAATTTTTGGCTATTAACCGTATCCCTAGTTCCTTTACTTGAAGAGCTAGTAACGCTAGCCATGCTCATGGTGTATTAGATCCAGAATCTACCTCAGCAAGAACCATCTTAAATTCCGGAGGAAGGCCAAATGGCGTTATTTGAT